AATCATTATGAGAAATATTAATGTAATAGTCTTAAATACCTATTTTTTTTATTTTTTTTATTTATTTATTTATTTATTTATTTATTTTGATAGGAAGACATTTAACTAAAAATTGACAGATATGTTTGCCCAATATTTTACGCATAACACAAACAAAAAAGATATGCCTTCGATATTACTTTCTACAATGTTGTCATCATTTGAAAACCAGGTCCTCGTACTTTTGTTTTAGAAATACGGATGTGGTTTTCGGTTCCACCAACGAATAGGACTTTATGAAAGCTAATATGCAGATTATAACTTTTGAATAAAACGAAAACAATTATAGGCAGACACGTGTGAAAGAAAGTCCTAATATTCGAAGACATTGATTTGCAGTAATCATGGGTGAAAGATCTGACAAGTTAGCAGATGTGGAAAAATAGTGACAAGGCGAGATGCCTATTTTAACGGTTGGTGTATACGAGTTAATCTTGTCAATAAATTTTAGATATGCTTGTATCTAATAATTTATAGCTGTAAGATGACGGTAGATTACAAGCAGTACTCGAATATCGTATGTTATAAACTTGCCATTACTATAGTATGGAAGATCAACATGTGTAAAATAAATAAGAACGCATTCATTCTGATCTATACAAGTACTATCAAATATATATGTGTCTATATTTACTTTCTCAGTTCTTCTCCATGCACCCTCTAATTCTATCTATCTAGCGAGCTAACTAGGTATATAACTAGCTATCTGTATTTTGTTACTTATATGTGTATGTGTGCATGTGCACTGATTAGTGTGTGTTTATATAAGAATGCCTATTTGTGCTCAAAGTGTGTATGTGCTACAGAGAAAACAATAAAAAATAGACAGTGAGAAGGATAAAGATTATACAATTTTAATATGAACAAAAATATAAAACATCACGTATAGCTTTTCTATATGCAATTATATTGAGAGCTATATCGACATTAGTGACAAGTTCGACTACTGATACTAAATCGATACTGAAAAATAACAACGAGTTTGATTTTATTATTATCATTATTATGATTACAATTAATGCCACTACTAAAATTTTATCAGATCAGATATATTTTATTTACTCGCTTTGCATTCGAACGCTTTCCTTTTACTTTTTTTTTATTTTTTGCACTGCCTACTTTTAAACAAAACGCCATCTTCTTCTTTAGATTAAACTAAGTTCTATCAATCAACATGATCATAAAAATGGTTTTGACAGGTTTTATGTCTAAAGCTTCACGTCTACAGTTTAACCTGAATTACTTAGGCAATTTGAAAGTGCAATCCGTTATTCAGCTGGAGGAGAGGGGCTGCTTTATTCTAATAATTATAGATACATGACTAAAAAAAAGAAAATCTTTAAGATAAGCAAAAATTTACTTTCAACTGGCAGCAGTTAAAACGATTACAGATCATATATATATATATATATATATATATATATATATATATATATATATATTCAAACGTTATCATAGTTGACACTTCTTATTTCAAAAGAGACGTCCCATTTTCAGTAGAATAACATCTGAAGTAATAAAATGTTAGGTTAAAAAATAAATCCACTATTTTTTTTTCTCTCTCTATACACACACACGCACACACACACACACACACACACATATATATATATATATATATATATATATATATATATATATATATATATATATATATATTCTGATGATTGTGTTTAGCATGAAACAGAATGTTGCTTTTTGGGTGTTGACTTCACTGTCCACTTTTATACGCTCTATCTCTAATATTGAGCACACCCATAAATATAGCATAACTTAAAATTATATTTTATCATATACATATATATATATATATATATATTATTTACATGTTTTTGATGCAATATTCTAAAATAAAAAATATTGGTCTACCGTTTTATTGAGCCCTCTTTTATATTAGGAATGTCGGATTCAACTCGTTTTCATTTCATATGAAGATATATACATATATATATATATATATATATATATATATATATATATATATATATATATATATATATATATATATATATATATATATATATATATATATATATATATATATATATATATATATATATATATATATATATATATATATATATATATATATATATATATATATATATATATATATATATATATATGAGTGAGAGAGAAAGAATGTAGAATCCTGATAGATCGACTGGAAAGTATGGAATGTGGTTTTGATCTTATGATAATAAAACAGAATAAAATTACATTGTATTTGAGATACAATCTTACACTTAATTCGATGAAGTTTTCCGCGCGAATTTTTTAAACCATTTTAAATCTGCTAAAATTTTTTAAACCATTTTAAATCTGCTAAAACATTAATATTAGCTTTTACGTCATAAATGTTTGCCTGATGTAAATATTAAGTAATTTTTAAAATCGTAAATTCATTTTAATAGATGATTATTATTTTTTTTATTTAAGTTGGATTTTTTAGACTTGCAGATATGCGTTTGCAATAAAGAGAACAAATGCGAATTATTCTTTTCAGACATTAATTTGATATTTATTTGAACATTTGTCTACCTTTAAAATATAAAAGGATGTACCTTTTTTCTGTTATTAACAAGAAAAATATTCTGAAATGCACCCAATATTATAATTGTAGTGTTCTGTTTAAACTGAGTGTATTTTATGTAACTGGAGATCTTCTTGGGAAGCGTCGCTTTTGTTACCTTGGTCAGACATATTCTAATAAAAGTCATAATCATTCTAATTTGAAAACGCGTTGAATAAAGTGCTTGTTTTATGATAAAACCAACTAAAAGAAACGGGGGAAAAATCACAAGCACAAATACGTGTTGAATGTCACGAATTGTATTTCCCCGTTGATTTTCTACAACAGATCTATTCATAACTATCGATCATTTTATATAAAACTGACTGATCTGAAAATACACACACTTCGAATTTCTTTCTTTCTTTTCTAATGTAATTATTATAAGTGTATTGAGACGCGTTTTTTTTAAACTTCAATCAATACATTTCCTGAATAATTCAATCTCCAAACAGACAGACCTGATATGCCAACATCCACTCGTATTCACGTACGGTGTATATTTCTTCCGGTAGAATTATCTATTTACCCTGTTAATAAAGAAGCAAATGACACATGAATCTTCTACTCAAAAGGTGACAGCATTTTAAAAAAAATAATTTTAGGGAGGTTTAAATACTGCGTCTTTAAAATTTGGAGAATCAAGAATTTATTAAAGGACATATTTTAATCGAGTGTTGTTTACATTAAATTTTGGCGGGAGACTTTTCCAGCCGTAAAATGGTGAGCTGCCAAGGATAGAGATGGTCACGAAAAAAAAAAAAAAGAAACAGTGAACTCGTTGCAGTGGGAGAGAATCTCATTCGTCTGCGCAAAAGTACAAAGTATCGGTCGAAATCTCATACATAAGCGCATAATGGCCGCTTAAATGCGGAATTTGCTGTTTTCAATATCCAATCCGAGTTGCATTCAACCAGGATGATTTGATCAGTGTGTCGACCATTGAACAGCAGAGTGTTATTGTGTGCAAGACACGAAGGCCCGGTCGTATTGTCAAGTGAGACATGAAAGCAATGAAGGAAAGAGTGCAAGGGAAAGGGAGTAAGTGAGTAGGAGGAGAAGGATGTATGAAGATAAGATGAGGAGGAAAATAAAACGCGTAAAAGAAAGAAATTAAAACAAGTTGGGAATGAGGACGAAAGAAAAAGAAACGGAAGAGAAAGAAAAAGAGAGACACACAATAACGAGAAAACATTGAAATTTAAAAAAATAAATAAATATCAACTTTTTAGAAAAATAATAATAATTATTATTATTACTATTATTATTATTATTTAGAATTATTTTTGTTCAAATTCAGAATCTTTAACTAAAATCAAACGAACCAATCATTCCTCATGAAAACCTGAAGTCATATCGTTCATGTTTTTTGTTTGTTTGCTTTTTGTAAATGTCTATACATTTACCAAAAAAATAAAATAACATAGAAAACTAATCAAATGAAAGCATTTCTAAATTTTCAGAAATACTTGTGTTTATTAAATGAATAAATATATCAAATATTAGCAAGAGAATACGTCTGCATGAGATGTTCTGAAATATGTTTCGGAATTGGGATATTATGTTTTGTTATAGTATAGCTGTTAACATAGATGATTCCTCTTAAAAACAAAAGTTACCAAACAAATTTGGACCCATGCTAGAAAACAGTTTTTTCTTTAAATAATAAAATTTAATGATGAATATGGCTAAAGAAGTTGAAAGGAAAACATTTCCTCTATTTGCCTACGATAGGAATATAAAAACTGTGCTGACAATGAAAGAGATCAACTATTAATGTTAAAATCGGTTTGGGATTTGAGATTATATCAAACAATTTTGAGTTCACAAATAAAAAAGATGATACACAAAGTAAGTATGGTAAACATACTTGTTTCTTGATAATAAATCATTCTGCTTTTATTTTGCTCTTGGCAAAAATGATTTGAATATAGAAAAATCTAAAACCCCTCCCACACACACCAAACAAGAAACTACTTTATGCTTAAATATTAAAAGAAAAAAAATTTTCGGAAAAAAGATATCCTTGTCCGTGACTGAATTGATAAGTAAAACAAACCTTTTTGGTGTTCTTTATTTTTAGTGATCATTTCACAGTCCAGATACCTTTCTTTCTTTTTTTCAACCACTTCATGACAATGAGAGAGAGAACTAAGAAAAGAAAGACTATTGCTTGCCAAGCCGCAGGCAACATTGCGTAATTCAAATCTCAAAAGATACCGCTCAATTATTTATCTAATAGCTCATTCAACCATTCACAAATTATGGAATTAATTCATCTATTTTAGTGTCGGACGGATGACTAGTCGAACCGAGCAGCCTTAAGCAACACAAGCCACATGGTCCGCGTCTTCCGTGTTTACAAGCACAACGACGCTCTTCGAACCAAATGCAAAAGCTACCCGGAAGTGTAAACCGGAAAAAGAACACTAGACCGGAACGATTATGTGAAACTCTCCGGTTCTGCTGGCGGGAATGCGCACGAGTATATTTAATTTGCTCTGATCAAACGAAGGTATCTTATTGGATGAATTGAATAAAATAAAGATCACTGCGCACTGTTTTATTGGCTGATACGCAGATGAAACACTTTTGGAATCAAATAAAAGTGGTTATAAAACGGCCAATGAACGAAAACGTAATTTTTATTTTCTTTTATTTATTTTGGGACTCAAAATAAATAAAAGAAAATAAATAATTTTGCTCATAAAAATAATAACGCTAGTCTTACGATATTAAAGTGGGCTTTTGATAATGGCAAATAGTTTAAAAAATAAATATTCGGAAATATATATGGGTGTTTATTTTTGCCATGTATTTTCTGTCATATGCTTTGCAGTAAACGTGTAAATAAATGCCTAAATTAGCTTTATGAAAGAACATTTACAAACACAAACCTATATCAATATATTCATGCGTACATACAAACACACATATATATAAATATCCTTTTGTTATTTGTTGGTGCGCGCGCGCGCGCGTGTGTGTGTGTGTGCAGGTGATAAAAAGGTCTGAGCTCGACTAATTTCCCAAAATCCACCCAAATAAAAATTCGAGAGGTGAATACTCTCTTGATAAAGCCGAGAATTTTTCAGCTCATACTAGTATACACACACAACTGCACACACACACACACACACATATATATATAAATATATATATATATATATATATATAATTTTTATATTGTTTAGTTTTGTACAATTCTCTCCTTTCTTTTATTTGTCTTGTTTCTCTAGTTCTCTCTGTTGTCTGCTTTACTTTTACGTTTCTGTTACCATTTCTCACATGTTCTCTCTTTTCTCCTCTCCCTTTCCCTCGCTTACTTCTTGTCTCTTTCCCTCCCGTTTTTGTTGTTATTGCTTCTCTCTCTATCCCACACAAGTTACTCTCTTTCATTGCTTCTCTCTTTTTTACACAATTCTTTTACCCTTTCAATGAACAGTATGTACTTCTCCATTCCTGCCTTCTTCACCTATTCCTGTTTTTCTCAGCTCCTTTCTACTCTAAATATTTCTTTTTCTTTCCCAAAACAACTCCCAGCAACTTTTATCATTATTTTTTTTTTGTATTAATCAAAACCGTTTCTTTACTTGACGTCATTGTTTTGCAATTCTACTTCTAAATGCAATACCGGCTTGCTTCACGAAACATCTTTCACGACACCTGTGTTTGTTTTGTCTTTCGACTGTTAAAAACAAAATCAATGGAGAAGCGAGACAGAAAACAGAGATCGTTCGGAGTTGGCGTTAAATAGGAAATAACGTGGGCAAATAGTTTGCCTGTGTGAGTGCATGTCTCGGTGAACCTCTGCCAATGTGTACGTTTATGCATAAGTTGAGATGCGTTAGACCATCAGAAAAAATCGTTGTGTGTATGTGTGTGTGTGTGGACAAAGCTTGTTGCCTATAGACCTAAGTGTATTGCGTATATGTTTGTGTTTACTTGTGGGTACACTACCGTCTCTCTCTCTCTCTCTCTCTCTCTCTCTCTCTCTCTTTCTCTCATCATTTACTCACTGCGTGTGTACGTGTATGTATATGCAGTTGTACTTGTTAGTGAGGTCTTCTTGATGGAAAAGAACAAGCCTTACGAACGTGTCTTGCCTGTGTGCGAGTTTTATGTGTACAACAGACGTGTGTCTACTACGTGAGTGAGTGTATATAAAAAAAAGTGTCTAAGTTTTTCTGAATAAAACGACGGAGTCAGAAAACTGAAGACATTTTAAAACTCAGAATCCAGTTTTGAAATTTGCGTCGCTTCTGCCAACCTTATTACCACCAAAGTCTCAAGCTGCATCCCTTCCAAAGCCATAATGTGTAATTGGTGCGTTCCCAACCACATTTATTTCACAATCGCTAACAATGAGAACATTTAGCTTTACCTTTAAGAGCTTTTAAGTGACCAATAAAATGTTATCTGGAAGACATATCTCTTCTAGTGGGAAAGTTCTTGCTTTTATAGCACTAAAATTAACTTTTCTTGGTAGTACTACTTCTGTATTTTTGTTTGTTATGTTTTTCCCGTTCACGTATTCCGGATTTTTTTTTCATTGGTACATTTGCCAGCGTACCATCTTGGAAAGCTATTTGTTTGACTGTTAATCTTCTTTTTTTTCCTGATCTGAAGAACCGTATTCATCAGTAAGTATATATATATAGATAGATAGATAGATAGATAGATAGATAGATAGATAGATAGATAGATAGATAGATTTTAGTAAATGTTTATCTTTCAGTCATCCACGTGATTCATCTGCTATATTTGTACACAAATAATGTGTATGCTGTATATTAATATTTGGATGATCCAAATAAGATTATTTTATCATCAAATTATTCATAAGTTTAAGGAATATATATTTATGGATTTTGCAACATCAAAAGTCTAAGCAAAGAAATAACTTGATTCCTCAGTAGCGTCAGAGTGTCAAAAATTGTAAACTATTTTATGCAGTGTTTGACATTTTATTCAGATGGCTGAACCTTTATCTACATAAGATCTCAGTTAATCTATTATTGCAAATATCTAAGCATTTTCTTTTGGCAAATAGCACGGATTCAATTTTCCAAAGAAAAACTTCAAAACCATTAAAATTTTTAATAATAATTCATTAAAAAGATACTCTTTTTCATTCTGACCGCTCATCGTGTAATTCTAAATTCAGACAATAAAGATATTGCTATTTATTTTCAAGAAATACGGCTAACCAATTGATAGAAGACTAGATAAGAATAAAAATGAATTGATATGCATGTGTGTTGAATTCTCTTATCAACAGCTAAGACAAATCACCTTAGCCATGGACGCATGCGCATTCACCTATCGATATGCCTACGTGAGGTAGTCCCGTAAAACACAACGTCTGGTAAACTTTTTCTTCTCTTCGAAATATTATGACAACGAAATTAGTTTTATGTCGGCATGGATAGACACAAAAAATTATTTAACTAAAAAAAAAAAATCACTAAAAAATTATTTTGGTTTTAAGTTGTGTAAAAATATATAATTCTTGGGTTTGTTCCTCTATATCACAGAAAATATAATTACTGTGCGACATTCTGAACCATTCGATGCGTACATGTGTTACCTATACATGTAGAAAAGTCAACATGGAAGAACGTGGATTGCATATCCACGACTGAGCTGGAGGTTTTCTTTAAATGTGTTTTCTGTAATTCCCCAGTTAACAGACGTCTATGAATTGGTGTAAGAAATGAGTTTATTAAAATATGTATGTACGTAAGTATGTATAAATGTCGACTACTCTTATGGATTTATATAAATAATTGAATATGGAGAGAAAGAAAATAATTCAGTTCCCTGTTGAATCCATCTTTAAATAAAGTAAATGCAAAATTCATTAATTTTATTCTTGTTTACGTGTCGATCTTTAATCCCATAGAAAAGTATAAACATGAACTGATGATCACTTAATGAATGAAACTACTAGCCACTAAGATTTCTACGTGCAAACAGTTTTATATGTAGAAAAGGTCTATTCCCGATTTGAAAATTACTCCCTCATAATTACAGCTAATTTTAAAAAATTATATTTATACACACACACACACACACATATATATATATATATATATATATATATATATATATATATATATATATATATATAATAATTATATATATAAAAGAAATATATAAGAAATGAATAAAAAATGTTACTCAAATATTGCCTTTCCGCGATGTTCACACACACACACACACACACACACATATATATATATATATATATATATATATATATATATACAAACCAAATCTAAAAGAAGGAAGAATAAAGTTGCAACGTTCCTACAAGAGTAGAAATCAATATTTATTACACACTGTTACCTGTTCTAATGTAACATTGTATTATATATATATATACATGAGAGAGAGAGAGAGAGAGAATGAGAGAGACGAGCTTAATTTGGGATTTTCAACACTTTATAATGTTCGATGTATATGTTAATGAAGAAGTATCGGATTTAGTGTTTTTACAAGACGGAAGCTGATGTTGAAAATTAAATATTTGATCTATAAATTAATTCAGTCTTTCTTCAAGAGGCCATAAGATCTATTGATATACTTGCATATATATATATATATATATATATATATATATATATATATATATATATATATATATATATGTCTGTATGTGTGTGTGCATCTGTGTTTGCTTGTGTTAAAATTTTTTGTAAACAAGAATCTATTTAATCATGTATCTATCAAGATAGATATATGAAGATAATTAGATGGTAACAAAAAGGTATTGAAACCAGTAACGAAAAACTTACTCGTCCTTTAATGAAATTAACTAAATTCGTAATATTTTAATCATTCGTGTATTACAACTCAAAAATATTGTGTCAAATGAACAAATTCATAGTAATATGCGACATATTTAATTTCACGATTATTATTGCTGTATTAATGTGAATGCTCGTGATATAGATAAATATCAAAATCTCAAATTTACAAAATCTTAAGAAGTAATCGCTCAGGTTTATAAAAAAATGAATGCTGTGTTAAGAAATGAGAAAAGATACTGCACTAAAATTAAATATAGATTACCATTCTGCAAGTAAACTATTTATAAAAAAAAAACAAGAATAAATAAATTTTAATCTAATTTTAAAAAAAAACAATTCCAATTACGATCCTTATTTTATTAATACGAAAGAATATAACTTTCGGCTTGCAAATCTTTTATGAACAATGGAATATCCTGAAAACTCGACGATATTTTAGTTAAAACAGATTTATTATTTTTTTTATTTTATTTTTATCATTTCACCCATGCAAGTCGATAAAGCCACTAAGACGTAAAACCTACTGAGTGTGAAAGAAAATGCGAAAACATTAGTGTGCAGAACGGACAATAAAAGAGCAGGTTTCAGGAAGACAAGGGATGGCGATTGGAGTTGCATCTTAATTTTGAAAGATTGTAGGTGAAAGGAATGCAAGAAACCGGAAACGAGTTCCACAGGCGAGAAGTGTGTGAAAAAAACTATTAGAATAAAACTAAAAGTTACTTATGATTATTTGATCAGTAAAATGATGAAACCTAATTGCCAATATAGCTTAAATTCATGCGGTCGATGTGCCAAGAAGGAGAGCTCATCAGAACAATTGCCATGAAAATATTTATAGAAATTTACGTTACGGCGTCGGGTAAGTGACTGAAGTCGAGATTCCAGGTCAGGACCGTTAACATTGTACACCCTTCTTTGGATTTGTCAAGAATCTCGAGATTAAGTGAAAATATCAAGTGAAAAATTTCAAATAAAATCGAATTGTACCAATAATCAACGTAAAATAAGCATAACTAATGTCTTTTTGTAAAAAGTTGTAATAAATGAATCACTTTAGAATAAATACAAAATTAATTATTTATTCGCAACATCATCATCATGAGTTGCAAAATTTTGTCAGCTCAAATAAAAAATAATTCGTTTGAAAATTCTGTTCTAACATAAGAAATTAATTATGTCCTAGCATAAGAAAAAGAAATACATTTATGCATTAATGCAGAAGATATTTTTAAGGAGTAATATCAATGGCTAAACATACAGTCTCACCACACACATATATACATACACACACACACACATACACATATATATATATATATATATATATATAGGGTCGGTGCAAGGTTCTCGCCCCCCAACCCCCGAATCTTTAATACAGCCCCACCCCGCTGAATCTATGACACGTGTCACCCACTATATTTATATCTCAATTTTTATAAGGTAGTAAAATACAAATTTTATTCTAACCTAATTATGTACAATGATATAGGTGAATAATTTAACTAGAAAAGTTGAAAATAAATCCAAGTATCTAAATGCAAATTAGGGATATATAATAATAGATCATTTCATCTTAAATCAACAATGCTTTGTGGCAATTTTTCACATCAACTTGTTGAAGAATTTTCACACATTCAAGATTATAATAAAAACTAGTGAATTTTATACAGTGATTCTTCAAATCTTAGCATAAGCAAAACAAATTCACTGTTTTGGACAAAAAAGACCCAAAATTAACGTCAAAATCGGGCAGAAATAATCGTCAATTGTACTTAGTTTAACTTGAAACGTATATACATGTAGATAGAAAAAAGAAAATGCTGATAAGATATCGAGTCAAGCGTCACTGTCCGGGGCCTCCAATCAGTCTTGGCTCCCCTCGGTCGGATGTTTCCATATATATATATATATATATATATATATATATATGTGTGTGTGTGTGTGTGTGTGTGTGTGTGTGTGTGTGTGTGTGTGTGTGTGTGTGTGTACACACACACACATATATATATATATATATATATATATATATATATATATATATATGGGGTATTTTATTCCAGATTTTATTTTTAAATAATTTCACATTTATATAAGTGTGCACGTGTGTCTGTGAATGAGAGAGAAAGAGGGAATGTGTGTGTGTGTGTGTGTGAGAGAGAGAGAGAGAGAGAGAGTCTGTATATGTGTGCTTCTACTGCTACAATTTTACAGTTAGTCTGTCATATAAAACAAGGAAAGGGTGTATTCTCAATCAATTAATCATTAACTGCTCAGGGGGAAAATTAGTTTTATCGGCACGCGCCCACACGTACATGCAGCACTCTCCCACAATTTCACTCACTCACTCACACATACACACACAGACACACACGCTCTTATACATACACACACATACATATGCAGCACTCTTCCACAATCCCACTTACACACACACACACATAGCACGCTCCACAATCACACACACACACACACACACACACACACACGCATTATTTATTGCAGAAAGAAATAACTATTAAGCCGTCTAAGTATTAAGTTTTAGTCCATTCTCTAATAATTACAACAACAATTACAACGATAATAAAAATAATAATAATATCAAATAAAAGAAAATAAAACTATGAAATTAATTTGTTCCTGATGACGGAGAATAATAATTACGAGGGTATAATTTTTTCTGCTGCAGTAGCAGCTGATATCAGCTTAAAGTAATTCCTATAGTAGTTAGAGTACTGGACGCAATACTGAAATAATATTAAAGTATTGTATTCAAGCAAAAATAGAGAAAACATAAATTACATTACTACTTGGCAAGAATACAAAGAAAATTATCAGGAAATATGATACTTGTTGTCACTTGATCTCTAAAAGAATTATCAATAATATCCGAGTTTAAAATAATTGTGCGATAAC